CCAGGACTTTTTTTTTTTTTTAAATAAAGTCGGTGAAGAAGCACTGAGATCTTCCGAGAAAAGCAGAAGGAGGGGCAAGGCTAGTGCTTCTGTACGGCTGTTGTATTTTCCCTGCTAAACCCAGCGCCCTCTGAGGAGCCCATCCCGCTCTTAGCTCCTGGGCTGCAACGCACGAGGCCACTCGCGGGTCCTCACCTCCCACCTTCAGGGTCCTCACCCAACTCCCCAGGGATGGCTGGGCAGGGATCGTGGGCCCTGACCACGGAGGGACACAGCGGTCGTGGTGCAACTTCTGCCAATGTCTCCTACCAACAGCAAGATGCAATGCACAGGGGCTTCGGCAACTCTACCTCCCTGTGAACAGGTCACCCGAGCACACTCCCGTCAGTCAAGAGGGTCCCTTCCAGACCAGTAAGTGACCTAACACGCAGGAGTGCTGGGCATCGGAAGGCTCCAGGCTGAGGTCTCGGAATCCCGGCTGCTCCCAGGCAGCCCCAGGTCCAGTCTGCAGCCAGGTGGTCTGACCTGGCCTCAGAAGAACCCCCTTTCAGCCACTGCTGGGCCAAACCACGGCCAGCCTGGCTTTCTGGTCTCCTGACCAGTAGGGAGCTGCTACCCACTGTCCTGTGCCATCCGGAGCTCTGGGGAGGGCAGGACGGCAGCACCCTGTCTCCTGTCACCGAGAGGGCTGCCCACACTTGCCACTGCCCGTGCGCCACGAGCCCGGCATGCTCAGGCAAAGCTGCCCCACTCGGCCTGCAGGCCCCCATCCCCCACTGCCCCGAGGTGCCTCGGTGCTCCAGACGACCGGCCTTCCCTCCTCCCAAATAAGACCTCTCTGCTCAGAGACAGTCTCGGTGGCAGGACTCACCATAGGGTGCGCGCGTGTGGGCGTGTGCGTGCATGTGTGTGTCCCACTGCCTCCTCGGGCTGTTTTGTTGTTTATCCAGATTCACCAGGGGGTAGTTCTAGAAACTTTTTCTAGAAGGGGATGCTCTCTTGGTGGTTCTCAAAGCAGGCAGAGGGAGGCAAGGAGGCAGTAAGGCCTCCAACATCCCGAAAGGCATTTCAAAATGCCTGTAGCCAAGGCACGTGCAGGGCACCCAGATGTCCCTGGCCCCGCCGAGAAACTCTGTAAGAGAGAAGAGCCGAATGTCTCTGGTCCCTCCCTTAGCAGGAAGGGAGGCAGGCAGGGCTCCCCTGTTGCTAAGGTCACGGCTCAGCCAGGCTGAGCAGACTCTCCCTCGTGGGCTTGGGCGAGCTCTTTCCCCACACAGGGTCCTGGCCTACATCCCACGCCTGGAGAAGAAGGGTGGTCCCAGTTCAAAAGGGCCCAGGGACAGAGCAAGCACCATGAATGGGCCACTGGGGGGCCTCAGACCAGCTCCTGCTGCTTCCGTGGCCACCTGCCCTGCCCCAGGGCCACCCGAGCCCATCCAGAAGCTTGACCACACACAGTGAGTCAAATTCCTATCTGATACTCGCCCAGATCAGCAAAAGGAAGGATTGTTCAACAGGATCCAATGGACCCTGCTGGCAGGAGGCTGGGAAGGGGGAGGGGGGGTGTCGATTAAAACACTAAGTTCTGTTTATCTGTTTAGTTAAACAAATATTTATTAAGCACCTTTGTGCCAGGCACTGTGCTAGGCGCCCTCACTGCACGCTGTCCCCACAGCACAGTCATCTGCTCAGAAGTTAAAACCCAGGAAAGGAACACTGTCGCAACCCTACGAACTGGGGGTGGGTGGAAGGGGGGCAGAGTGGGTGCAGGCAGTGCCTGTGAGCCCACCCCAGACTTGTTTGCTCTCTCCGGACAAGTCTCTACTAAGCGGCTGCTTTAAAGCATCTTGATTCTTACCGAGAGGGAAGGCATTACCCCCATGCCCCGCGCACGGGTGCCTGGTGGACGTTCAAACGCTCTGAACGTTCTTCCAAAAAAAGGAGGTGGAAAGCGTGTTCCTATTTGTAATAGAAAATCCTTTGCTCAGTTGGTATGGTCGCAACAGCCCTTAAGAAAGATACAAACATCCCTGCCCTGACTACGTAAACGTTTAAGGGAGACCTAGCGCGGGATTCCTGAGTCAGAACCTTCCAGATGTCCGCAGCCTCGCGAGGTCAGGGAGGCGAGAGGAGGCGTGTGTTCCGGAGGGGAGAGTGGACGGCACCACGGGTGTGGAGGCACAACAAACCACACCTGCACTAACAGAGCGACGCACACGAGAGGACGCCCCAGCCCTCGGCCCACGGCCCCTAGCTGTCGGCCCCCAGCTTGGAGAGGCCGCGGCGGAAGTCGTGCAGGCCGTCGATCTTCGCGTCCAGCACCTCCAGGAAGCTCTTGAGCTCCACCTTCAGGTGGCGCTGGCGGTACTTACTCTCCTCAATGTCCGTCTTGAGGGACCGCACCTTGCCCTCCAGGTTCTGATTGTCTCTCTCTGCCGCCTGAAGGAAGACACACCGGGGGACCGGTCACCGAGACCCCCTCCCTCTGGGGGGCCCGCATCCCTAGCTAAGTCCCCCAGCACCCATGCCTGTGCCTGCTGACGTCAGCACAGAACTCGGGGCTCTCCGGTGCACCCCCTTTCCTGATGGTTCCCTGGCAGAGTGCGTGACCAACACCTGAGCTGATAAAGGGCGGCTCCACACAGGACGCAGAGCTTGGGTTCTGCCTGGGGGAGCCTGAGGCAAGAGGGCCTTCTCACAGAGTGCCCAGGAGAGGAAGCCCGCAGGCCTAGCACGCGGGGTTTTCCGCCCCAGTCCCAGAACGGTCAGTAGAGACCACATGCTAGTTCCATTCTGAGACAGAGAAGCAGGTCCAACGGGACAGTGACTTGTTTCCCCGGCTCTACGGAGAGGCTCCCGGGCCAGCCTCTGGCGTCCACGAGGAAGGTTGGAGCCGTGCCAGACTCAGGCACAGCGGTCTGGGCACCGGCATCAGGTGGTGTGACCAAGGGGGCAGTCGAGCTCCTAAGGGTCTGGTGGCTGCGAGTCCTTAAACAAGGTATAAGCCTGTGCTCTTCACATCCAGTAAGAGCTTCATCTTATGGACGTGATCAGGAGTGTTCTGCTCACGTGTACAGGAACCACCGACTAATATGGGGGTCGTTCCTGAAGTGGGGGGACCCTTGGAGGTGAAAGGGGATGTGGAAACCCCTCTCTGTGGATCGGGAACCTGAGGCCAG